TAAACAAAATACAATTTATAATTAATTAAATTCTTAATTAAAACCAATCAGTCTAAATTCTTAATTAGAAGGTTATTTAATTTTCATTTAAAAATTTTGCTAAATGTGATACATTCCTAAAATACTAAAAATATTATAAAAAAAGAAAAGGAGTTAAAAAAAGGAAAAGGAAAAAGAAAAAGAAAGAGAAGTAATGAATTTGTTAACAAACATTATAAGGTGAGTAAACAAAAGGATTAATTAGTAAAAAGTTCATTTTTATTGGGTCATATTTTATTTGGTTTAAGATTTAATCCTTTTTTAGTGGTAAAGATACGTATCGAAAATTCACTGACATCGGAAAAATTATCAAAACATTTGCAAGAAAAGTCATCTGAAAGTCACCGATGGTTGATGGTGGTGGTGGTGGTGGTCGGCGGTGGCTGGTGATAATCAGGTCGATAGATTGATGATATTAAACAAATATATAAATAGATAAGTGACACGTATATAGATTATTGACATTTAAAGAAATAATCAAATTAATATGTAATATATATATATATATATATATTTATATAAATATATGACATTTAAACAGATAAATAGATGGGTAGATTTAAAAAGATAGACATCCCTTTTGGACAAATAATATATTTTTAACCAAAATATCTAAGATTAAGCGAATAGAAGTTCTAGCTGAGTGTCCTAAACAAAATACAATTTATAATTAATTAAATTCTTAATTAAAACCCATCAGTCTAAATTCTTAATTAGAAGGTTATTTAATTTTCATTAAAAATTTTTCTAAATGTGATACATTCCTAAAATACTAAAAATATTATATAAAAAAAAAAGAAAAGGTGTTAAATTTTAGCTCTGTTTAGTAGGTCATTTAATTTTCATTTAAAAATTTTGCCAAATGTGATACATTCCTAAAATACTAAAAATATTATAAAAAACGAAAAGGAAAAAGAAAAAGAAAGAGAAGAGATGAATTTGTTATCAAACATTATAAGGTGAGTAAACAAAAGGATTATTTAGTAAAAAGTTCATTTTTATTGTGTCATATTTTATTTGGTTTAAGATTTAATCTTTTTTTAGTGGTAAAGATACATATCGAAAATTTACTGACGTCGGAAGAATTATTGAAAAATTGGCCAAAAAAGTCGTATAAAAGTCGGAAGAATTATTGAAAAATTGGCCAAAAAAGTCGTCTAAAAGTCACCAGCGGATGATGGTGGCGGTGGTGGTGGTGGTGGTCAGCGGCGGCTGGTGATAATCAAGTGGATAGATTGATGATATTGAACAAATACATAAATAGATAAGTGATACATATACAGATTATTGACATTTAAAGAAATAATTAAATTAATATGTAATATATATATATATATATATATGACATTTAAACAGACAAATAGATGGGTAGATTTTAAAAATATAGACATCCCTTTTGGACAAATAATATATTTTTAACCAAAATATCTAAGATTAAGCGAATAGAAGTTCTGGCTAAGTGTCCTAAACAAAATACAATCTATAATTAATTAAATTCTTAATTAAAACCAATCCGTCTAAATTCTTAATTAGAAGGTTATTTAATTTTCATTAAAAGTTTTTCTAAATGTGATACATTCCTAAAATACTAAAAATATTATAAAAAAAAAGAAAAGGTGTTAAATTTTAGCTCTGCTTAGTAGGTCATTTAATTTTCATTTAAAAATTTTGCCAAATGTGATACATTCCTAAAATACTAAAAATGTTATAAAAAAAAAGGAAAAAGAAAAAGAAAGTGAAGAGATGAATTTGTTAACAAACATTATAAGGTGAGTAAACAAAAGGATTATTTAGTAAAAAGTTCATTTTTATTGTGTCATATTTTATATGGTTTAACATTTAATCTTTTTTTAGTGGTAAAGATACATATCGAAAATTTACTGACGTCGGAAGAATTATCGAAAAATTGGCTAAAAAAGTCGTCTAAAAGTCACCAACGGATGATGGTGGCGGTGGCGGCGGTGGTGGTGGTGGTCGGCGACAGCTGGTGAAAATCAAGTGGATAGATTGATAATATTGAACAAATACATAAATAGATAAGTGATACATATACAGATTATTAACATTTAAAGAAATAATTAAATTAATATGTAATATATATATATATAAATATATGACATTTAAATAGGTAAATAGGTGGGTAGATATAGACATCCCCTTTTGGACAAATAATATATGTTTTACCAAAAATATAAGATACGAAACCTCGTAACGGTTTTTCAGTTACATACATCTTACCGCTTCAAGAATAATCCCTTTTTCATTTCGTGCCAAAATGAAAATTGACTTCTTTCACCGCCCATTTTCCATATAAAGCATAACCTTTTCCTTCACTCTCTCATGGAGTTCTTTCCGGAAACGCTTATAAATTTTCCACCAAGAAACCCTAAATTTTCGATCCCAACTCTCTGCAGAAGTCCACCGACGAATCACCATTGAGTCCTTCGAAGAATCTCTTGGTCTTCTTCTCAAAATCAGGTCGATTTAAACCTCATTTTTTTTACACTTCTAACTGTGATTTGTTTTAATTTTAATATTCGTTTGAATCACTTCACATTTCTCGTTTTCTTGCACGTTTCTACATAATTAGTTAATTTTTAGTGCTAATTTCAGCTTTTTCTTACTTTCTCATCCATTTTCTTTTTTCGTTAGTATTTTCTTGTCTGCGAAACTGTTAATTTCTTGTGTTTATTGTTGATTGGAGGTCAATCTGCTGGGTTATGAGTCATTTTTAGTTAGGTTGGAATCACTTTACATTTCTCGTTTTCTTTGGCGTTTCTACTTGGTTTACCTGATTTTTAGCGTTAGTTTAAGCTTTCTTTACTTTCTCAGCTTCCAAACAGTTAATTTCTCATGTTTATTGTTGATTGGTGGTCTATTTGATGGGTTATGAGTCATTTCAAGTTAGGTTGGAACTGGATATTGTTAAATTGGCGTCTTCGCTTACTTAGGATGCATCAATACTGGGCATGAATTGTCTCGGTTCTCTTTGCCATTGTTGTTTTCACAAAAATCACTTGTTTCTCAGCACCATTTTCCTTTTTTTTTTTTTTTTTTTTAAATATACAGCTGCAGACCTAGGCACGTTTCTTGTGATTTGTGTTCAATAATTCATTAGGCTACGTAAATTAGCCCAAACACATAAACTGCACATTTTCCTTTTTTTTTTTTTTTTTTAAATATAATTTTTATATATAAATTTCCTTTTTCATTTAAAAACATAATAATTTATGCACGTTTTTTAGGCCATAATATGAATCAAGCTACTCTGAGTTCGACTCGTATTCAATTTGTCAAATGCCATTTCAGATCGATTCCTTACCGAAGCAAGTCTATCTAGAATATATTTTAAAACTCATTAGTCTTTAAGTAGAGCTTGAATAACTTACTAACTGTCTTGGCTTAGGCTTTGTTTGGCAAAGGAGTTGCACGAAGTGGAAGTTCAGGCTGTGGTGAAGAGTGAGGGTGCACCAGAAAACATAAAACAGTTGATAGGCAAAATAAAATATATACTTTATAGTAATATTCAGATAGGTAAAATGCCTACTACCGTTGGAGATGCTCTTACTAACTGTCTTGGCTTAGGCTTTGTTTGGCAAAGGAGTTGCACGAAGTGGAAGTTCAGGCTGTGGTGAAGAGTGAGGGTGCACCAGAAAGCAAAATTGTGTTGGAGATTGTTTCTATGGCTGATAGGAGGGTTCCATCAGGTGGTGCAAAAACATGGTTTCCTCTAGAGTGGCCTACTAGTGATGGCAATGTTTCGAAGGAGACTAACCTGAAAGCTAAATATTTTAGGAGAAGGGTTAGAGCTATTCGTGAATTCCCTCCTTTTTGTGGAATGAATGCTATTTGTCCGACTGAGGAAGAGCGCCTGAGAATTGCCTTGGGAAACAAGACTTCAATTGCTCCAGTTGAGGCTGCTGTGCAGGGTACGCTGTCAAGAGAGACAGTGAGGGCTAAAGAGGAATGTAGTCTAGTGAGAAAGAGAGCAAGGACTGGCATTGAAGAATTGGACAAGGATGTTCGAGACACAAATGCCAAAAAGAGGGATATGAAAAAGAAATTGCTTCCTTCTGGAAAGGATTCATATGAAAATAAAGGTGCACAGGTTGTCAAGGATAAGGGAGATTTTTCCATATGTGAGCAAGATGAAGATTCTTCTGCAGGTCAGAGACCACATGATTTTCAAGTGATCCTGCCTCCTTTTGGTCCTGATAGCTCGAGTCATGGTAATGTGCGTAACAAAGTGAGGGAAACACAACGTCTATTCCAAGCTATTTGTAGGAAGCTCTTGCAAGGAGAAGAAGCAAATTTGAAGAAAGAAGCATACTCGAGCAGAAGGCCTGATCTGAAAGCAGCACAGATTATCAGAGCTAAAGGAAAAGAAGTTAACACAGGCAAACAGATAATAGGATCAGTGCCGGGAGTCGATGTAGGTGATGAGTTTCAATACAGGGTGGAGCTTGCTCTTGTTGGCATTCATCGTCTCTATCAGGCTGGTATTGATTACATGAAACATGACGGGATGATCATTGCAACAAGCATTGTTGCCTCAGGTGGTTATGCAGATGATTTGGACAACCCTGATGTTTTAATATACTCTGGTCATGGAGGAAATATAACTGGTCGGAATAAACAACAACCTGAAGACCAGAAACTTGAAAAAGGAAACTTGGCTCTGAAAAATAGTATATCAGCAAAGAATCCTGTTCGGGTAATCCATGGTTCTAAAGAGACAAAATTATCTACCTTGGATGCAAGAGGCAAGATTGTTCTGACATATACTTATGATGGCTTGTATACAGTTGAGAGATACATGCATGATGTAGGGCCACATGGTAAGCTGGTTTTTAAGTTCGAGTTGAAGAGAATTCCAGGCCAACCAGAGCTTGCTTGGAAAGAAGTGAAGAAATCAAAAAGATTTAAAATTCGGGAGGGTCTTTGTGTTGGTGATATATCAGAGGGAAAGAGTTATTTCCCATTTGTGCTGTGAACACCATAGACAATAAGAGACCACCCAAATTCAATTATATAACTGAGATGAAATATCCTGATTGGTACTGCCCTACTGCTCCCAAGGGTTGTGATTGTATCGGTGGATGCTTGGACTCTAAAAAATGCTCATGTATGTTAAATAATGGAGGAAAAATTCCATACAACTGCAATGGGGCTATCGTTGACGCAAAGCCTCTAGTGTATGAGTGTGGTCCTTCTTGCAAATGCCCTCCTTCTTGCTATAATAAAGTCAGTCAGCATGGCATGAAAATACAGCTTGAAATCTTCAAAACGAAGTCAAACGGCTGGGGTGTTAGATCCCTAACTTCTATTCCTTCAGGAAGTTTTATATGCGAGTATATTGGGGAGCTTCTTGAAGACAAGGAAGCTGAAAAAAGACAAAATGATGAATACTTGTTTGATATTGGACACAATTTCAGTGATTGTTCTCTCATTGGTTTACTTTTGACTCTCAAGAATGTTGTACAGTTAAGTTCTAGTGAAGCTGTGAAGGATGAGCATTTCACAATCGATGCAGCACAGTGTGGGAATGTGGGGAGGTTCATCAACCATAGTTGTTCCCCTAACCTTTATGCTCAGAATGTCCTCTATGATCACGAGGACAAGAGTAAACCCCACATAATGCTTTTTGCTGCAGAAAACATTCCTCCCTTGAAGGAGCTGACTTACCACCATAATTACTTCGTCAATCAGGTTCGAGATTTGAGTGGAAATATTAAGATGAAGAGCTGCTATTGTGGTGCTGCAGAGTGCACTGGCAGGATGTATTGATGCAGGGAACAAAGTTTGGGGTTTTCCAGAATTAGAGATTCCTTGTGTCTTAATGTAAGTTCTCGTTGACTACTTTGTTGTGGAACCTGATTTATTATTACTCTCCGTGCTAGGCTGTATATTGAATTAGTTTCAGCATGTACTTGGGATGCCCCAACAGAAACAAGAAGATATGGATGCACACATACAGACAAATATCATTTTCATGAACTGAAACACACCCCAACACTACTAAACTTTTCAAGATGACATACAGTTACATAAACAAAGATTGCAGGACCTTAACAGATTACAATATACAATGTTTTACAATATCTCCTTGTGCTTGTTGGTATGTATGTGAGCTGTGATTGAGTTACATGTAACCCATACTTTGCACCTCCAAATTTTCATTTGGGTTGGAGGCAACCTTGGCTGAGTTTGTCACTGGCTACAGGCTACTGTACTCCTGCATCACTGTAACTTTGCCATGGGGCTTGGCTGTGTGCATCATCTTCCTCTTTCTTGTTTCTGAAATTATTAGTTATTTCAATCAAACTAAAAGATATTATGTCTTGATTTTTGCATGTTGTAACTTTGAGGGTCTTTCTTCCAGCATTTTTATGTCTATCATCTGTGATCATGTTTTCTTGATGTAGACACCTTGAACAGTTATCTAATTATGTCATTATCATTGTGATAGTTTCCCAAAATCATGTTGTCACTGGTTTTTATTTATGATCATACTTTATAGATATAAAATGATATTACTTCTGGCCAATTCACAAAGTGGCGTAAACCTCTGGGGAGGACATGGTACAGAAATAACTTCAGCTCTATTTGCTTGAATTGGCTGCCCTCAAAAATCATAAAATTTTCTTCATGCTTAAAGTAATATAGAATCTAATTCATGAATGCAAAAGCTTTACATCTCATCCCTTAATTTTCAGGGATTTGCTTATGGTTCTTGTTTAGATGGGCAAGCCTTGCTTTTGATGGAGGCAGACAAGAGGAGAATTGAAAGAAGGTTAAAATAGTTGGTTCGTTCATATCATATTCTGAGGTAGTGGCAGCTCAAACGTTAGTCTGTACATCAGTTTTTTGACAGTGGTTTCTCAAGTAGTCAAGTTGTTTTCTGATAACATGTGCTGAATTAGTGATTTTGGGGAGAAAATTCTGAAGCGCTAACCTGGTAACCTTCTATAGTTTGGAATGATGGCACTTTTTTCATGTTTTGCTGATTTTGCATGATTTGGAATTTGTACATGTGAATTTTGTGGAAGAGTTATGACGTAAGTGACTTTTTTTTGTAGTGTTTCTGCATTGCAACATTATGTTTCTCATATTTGTTTAATGTGATGGTTACTTAGGAGTGACAAATTGCTTGCAATATCAATACCCTTTACTCTTACATAAGATTGGCGTTTTGTTTAGTTTCTATTGCAAATTAGCTTGATTTTGAGCTGGCCTTTGAAACTATTTATTTAAAAGGTTGTTAACTCTTATTTTTTAACCATAAAATCGTAGTGTTCAGACTATCACCAAGAGTTTGGATAGGGTTGAGAGTTAGTTGGGTCCACACTCTTTTAGCTGCATTATTTGCATGTGAAATAAACAAACATAGTACACAATCCGATTCTTTATTGAGAAAGGTGAAGAGCACTAGCTCTAACACCATAGACAAACATAACTTTAATCACTTAATCAAAACTACTAGGAAATAATTAATAAGCAGCTCCTACTCTGCATATACTGAGATATATTTGTCTTCATTGGGATTAGGAGTTTAATAGGGCTTAAGTAAGCTGAATGGTTGTGTCATAAACAGCCCCAGCTTTCCATTCACTAGGAATCACACTACTCAGCTGCACCCACTTCAACCCTGCACTGCCACTTACTTGGACCCTGAAGTTAAGTGCCCCTGCTGGTGGGTTAGCCATGTCCCATACTGCACCGTAGGCCTTTCACATACCCCTCCATTGCTGGCAATCCGCCTGCATCAAGAAAATATATGGCTATTAGACTTTCCAGACCCTGCTTTAGCAAGAGCCTCGTCACAAGGTTGCCCTTAAAATGATATGTACACAAGACAACTTGCTTACAATACCCAGTTCATCAAATTTGTTAGAAGACTGTACCTGCCACACTTCTGTGGCAGTGATGTCATTTTGGCCAGCTTGGTACAACATGACTAAGGCTAGGTACTCAGGGAACCTGCTGTGCTCATGAACCTTGACCATGAGGTTGTAACCTGGATACTGGCAAGGAATTCTCCGGTATTCTATGTCAACCACGCCATAGGCAAACAAATCCAAGGCTGCATTGGGACGTGCCAATCTTGAGTAGGCGCGAGTGCTTAGGATGAAGTCAGTCTTGTCCCCTTCACCATAGTCTGTCACCACTACCCTCACTCCATCTTCAGTGCAAAGTTGTGGTACTTTGCACCTAACCTGTAGTTGTCAACAAACAAATAACTTCCATTGTAGACACAAAAATAAGGGAGCTACTTTTTTTATTTGTTCGGAAGCAACTTCAATTGGCTGCCTATTTCTTGCCTTCAAGAAAGGCATATAGTTTAAAGTTGTACTTTAACATAGTCACAAGCCTCACAATCAAATATTTATTTGTTTTATTTGAAATTTTAGGTAGGAACCTAACAGTATTTATGCATATCCTTATCAGTATTTATGCATATCCTTCCAAATATACTTTTAGAAGTGTCTAACACTTCATTCTTTGTTACTTTCAAGCTCAAAGAAACTCAAAAAGATTAAGTTGTTTTTTAATTAAATTACCTGATAGCATGCACCACAGCCAGTTCCATTCCTGAACAGCCTAGAAACCCCGCTCACGCCTCCATCATAGACAGTTCTTCCATATTCACCAAACCCACAGGCTCCAGCTAATTTAACATCATTAAACACATTTTAATCATCGTAGATAAACCATTAATGTAGAAATGTACATACATACATATATATATTTGCTAATACACATATACATCAGTACCATGTGTGTATATATAGGAGAGAATACATACTTGGAGTCCCTAAGCAATCAGGGCTACCATAATAGGTTGCTCTAGAGCACACATAAGCATCCTGGGAGTAACAAACTAGAGGCAAAAGCACCATGACATAGAGAAGAGAGCAATAGGTCTTAGCTGCAAAACCCATTTCTTATTCTTAATAAGATCTATTATCTTAGAAGATGATGAATAAGGGAAAGATTTTGGGGATGGGAAGTTCACATATGAAATCACATATTTATAGTTGAAGCCATGAGGGCTGGATGAGAGAATTGCCACCTTTTTTCTCTTCCACTTAGAGATGTGTACAAACAGACACCTGTATTGACCCCTTAAGACCATTTACAATTAGTGTGGCAGCAGATTAATGGCTAGCAAACCCATTTACAATTGACATTGTCAGATGGCACAAAAGATGCTTGAATCTTTGTGTATCCAAATTCTCTGTATTTCCAAGAGCTGGATTCCTTTATTTATGTACTATATAATAAGTGTCATATCTATGTGTAGGACTTGTAATATTTATAAAAAAAAAATAAAAAAAAAATGGATTAGGCATGCCACATAAAAAGCCACGTAGGATGTGAATAATTCCGATAAAATATTTCATTGATATATATATCAACCTCCTCTCTCTCTCTCTCATAAATGTATATGGGGAGATGTTACAATATGCGCCCTCAAAAAGGTGCATATGGTATATTTTTCATAATTTTTTCACTGAAAAATGTCATAACAAAATCTCAAAGCGTCATAACAAAAATCACAAAATATCATAGCATTATCATTCGTAATTTTATGGTGCACATCATAAATTCGCTATTTATAACTTTACTACAAAATATCATAACACACATCACAAACAATGATAACGTTCATCATAAAAAATCATAATTTTTTACATTATGTACCATTTAAAAGGATGCACATTGTAAAATTTTCCATGTATATGACATGATTTTATCTTCCAACTTTCTAAGTATGCATAATATGTTGTGGGAATGGTATTGAAAGGCGATTGCTTTTTTTATTTTATTTTGTAAAACTGGAATGGCCCACTTTGCAAATTTTATCTTGGCCTCTCCTTTTGGACTGAAGTCTTGTTAATTGTTATTTAGGTTCTATGTAAAATTGTTAAACAATAGTATTAACTTTTCATCTTTTCATATATAATTAACTGGGTTGATTTTAAGCCCTCCATTTGAGTATTATAAAAACACACACACACATAATGATATTCATTCAAATTAATGTTGCCTGATGTTATCAATTCCAAGAATTTGTAATTTAATTTTAACTAGCCGTCGGCAGGTTGTGCATTCATATTAGGAAAAATATCAAGTGTATTAGCCATTTAATACAAAGCTTGTTTAATGCAGTTTATTTGATGCTAGTTATGATTTATTTATTTATTTATTTTTGATAGTTTTTGCTTATATATGTTCTCAATATCTTCTCATTATTAAGAAGCAAGATGAGGTGTTTTTAATTTATGTTTTTTTTATTATTAACTTTTAATTTGTTAAAAGTTGTACCAAACAAGGTCGCAGGAGTTTGTGTCAGTTTATTTGCTATAATTACTAGTATTTACAATTCATAAATCATAAATAATTTAAATAAGTTTAAAAAAATAACTAATTGTCCAGAAATTGGGAGAGTGGTGACTTATATTTTTCTACTTAAGATAAATTACAATTACAATAGATTATTGTGGTTCTTATTACAAAATAAATTTACTCATTAAATGGGAGTACCAAACATTTTTGTTACGAAAAATGTCGTTATTATATTTTTAGTTACAAAAATTAGACATTAGTGATGATGAATTATTATCTTTTTAAGATCAATTTTTTTGTGTCAAAAAATAAGTCATTTTGAGATCAAATTGTTTTGTCTGTAAAAATCTATTTTTTTAGTGACATTTTCAAAATTTTGTTGCTAAAAATCTTGTTTCTGACTTTTTAGGTCAATCTTTTAGCAACTATCCTCGTGACGATGGAAATTAATTCTTAAATATTTTTTACAACAATTTTTTTTTTTTTTAAATCAAAATATTTAACCTTTAAAACTCTTATATGTTATAGTGTTACCCCAGATAAGTTTGGTTATGAACGCGCTAAGGCTGTCAAAATCGTCCAATGCACTCAAGGCAGTCAAAACAGGTCATCACTATTCTGGATACAGTGCACTTAAACATTACGAGCAAAACCACTCACAATATCACTATATACACTTTTATATATGATTTTCAACAAATAAAGTGTATGTAGCCCAAAAAAAAAAAAAAAAAAAAAAAAATTTGCGAGGCCAATTTTATGTCACATTTGACGTAGGTGATTTCTAATCCTGGCCATCCATTTGGGAACCTCGCAGCAGATGAGCTTGAAATACTAATTTAAGAATTTTAAAATTTATAAGATTAAATTTAATTCCGTGGAGGATCTTAATTCCTCATCATCCCTATCATTAGCGTTAAGAGTGGTGGAGACCATTTTTAATCTAGTGACATTAATGTATTATATAAAAAAAAGTTTCCTAATACATTTTTTTTTATCAGTAAAGAAAATTTCATTAAAAAACATAAAATTAAAGGTATAGAAAGATGACTAACATAAAGAGAGATTCAAGAAAGTATAGATTAACCCTACTACTGCTACTCGCAACCATCTAACTAACCCTTGAACTTCACAATTTTTTTGAAATAATAAAACAAAAAAACCAGAAACAGAAATAAAAAAGTAAAGAAAAACTCTACTCTTAACACACCAAACCTAGAACCCCCTTTCACACTAAACCACACCCCACTAACAAAGATAAAACAACACTCTTACCCCGAAGAGGCCAAACACCAACCACTCTTTCTCTCATGCTGTCACTTCCCAAGAAACCTTGAGGACTCCATCAATGGCTTCTTCTTCCTCATCCTCTCTCACGATTTGCAAATCTGCAAATTCTGAATTTTTTTTTTTTTTAGTACCAAAACGACGTCGTTTTGTCTAGACATCATCTCAGCCATTGATTTCGTTAATGGAACACGTGTCGCTCCATGATGGATCACTCTAGAGGATCACTTTACAGGATCACTCTAGAGGATCCGGACGCATAAATATACCCCCTTTCAAACCAAACACACCACAACAGACACCCAGGACAAAACACCAACCCCCACTTACCCGAACTCCTGAAAATTATTTACTTGCACCCGACTACCTAACTCTCTCTCTAACTCGAACTCTATTAATTTTTCTTTCTAATTTTGGCTTTGTTGCTCATCTCCAACTCGATAAAATCCTTGAGGAAGATGTCTTCTCTACCACCAAAATCAATCTGCAATTTCTGGCCCATTTTCAAGGTTTCTGTTGCTTCAACCAAAAGGAGTCTAAACTCATTTTCCTTATCTTCATCTTGTTGTTCCATCTCCTCATCATATTCCACCAACTTGTTTAAGAAGCGCTTGTTGCATACCCGAAATGAACTAGACGATATTGATGATTGCGAAGGCTACGAAGATCAGGCAAGTTTGGCATCCGTTGATTTTTTGTTGGAACCTTTGGCGTATCTCCCTTTATTCAAGAATTTGTGGGGAAGCCCCAACTCAAGAAGTGAGAGTTTCTTTCTTCTATTGGTGGATTTGTGTATCCTAATAGGACTGTTTTTGTGCAGAAAGGTAAGGGCTTGAGTTGGGTTGGGTTGAGGCAGTTTGGGGATGAGGCATGATTAGGGCTAAGAGATTTACTCACTAGGTTTTAGGACAAAATAGAGTGGCTGGAAGAAGAGCATAGAGCATTGGGGTCTGTGCATTGATATACATCTAAAAGCTCTACCTCAAGCGTGCGAAGCTCAGCGCCGTTCATACTACGTGTGACATTACAAGAATCCTCAACTTGGCTGAGAAGAGCTACGTCATCATCACCTTGATTCTCTCTCGGAGCTAAGCCTTCGAGATCACCGGCCAAAAACACACCCTGTTAGACATTTCCAGAGCAGACTGAGACATCTTCACCAACGTTGAGATGATCACCATCATTTTTCGCACTCTGAACATCACCAGGCTTTTCACTAAGGAAGCCTTCAACAGAATTAGATTCATCAATACCTTCATCCACCTTAACTGCCGCTATGGGGTAGTAAGACGAGCCTAACATGTAGATCTTTTGAAAATCCAACTCTGAAACTTTGATGTCGAAAAAAAATTGACCGACTTTCAATTTGCAAAAACCATTTATTGAATTTTTAAAATTTGTTTCCACAAGAACTTTTCCTCTTTCCAGTTCCCCGCGTGAAGTAGTTTTTCCATCAACAGAAAAAAAAAACTCAACCCCAGTTGCTGGCAATTTTGGTGAAAGTTGTGGAGTTCCAAGCATTCAAAGGAACCCCTTCAATGGCCAGCCAAACTCTCCTTGACAGCGTAAACTCTCTATCATGCCACTTGTTAAAATATGTTAGTAGTCTATGTTAGTATTGCTAGTGTTATCATTATGTTTAGTACAGCATTATGTTAGCTTTAATAATTATCCTTACTTTATGCTTTCGGTGCCTCAATTGGCACCCAATGTTGGCTTTCTCCTCTCTATAAAGAGAGTGTAAATCTCTTTGTAAATATATAGAACAATACACAAATCAATCAATAATAATACATCAGTTATTTTTACATGGTATCAGAGCTATAAGATTTAGGCCTAAACTGCCGCTATGGGGTAGTAAGACGAGCCTAACATGTAGATCTTTTGAAAATCCAACTCTGAAACTTTGATGTCGAAAAAAAATTGACCGACTTTCAATTTGCAAAAACCATTTATTGAATTTTTAAAATTTGTTTCCACAAGAACTTTTCCTCTTTCCAGTTCCCCGCGTGAAGTAGTTTTTCCATCAACAGAAAAAAAAAACTCAACCCCAGTTGCTGGCAATTTTGGTGAAAGTTGTGGAGTTCCAAGCATTCAAAGGAACCCCTTCAATGGCCAGCCAAACTCTCCTTGACAGCGTAAACTCTCTATCATGCCACTCATACACTACATCAAACCAAGTTTCTAACCACTATCTACTCCCATGAAGCATCTCTTTTATATCTTCCGCAGTATTAAATTACAACAGAACCTTAACACCTCCTAGTGGCTTGATTATTATGAAATTGACCCCTTCAGTTCTCATTGCCTCCTCAATCATGGGAATAATTTTGACATCTCTGAATATACCAACCGCACTAGTCTTTACTCAAGAGTCATCAATCTCTTTTCGCTTCAACAGTGAAAGAACCATTGGGGTTAACTTCGACTCCTTCTATAGAATACCGTGAATGGTCTTCGGGGTCTTGTTTATGCCTCCAAATT